TCGTTATTTCTGGAATTTTCCATTTAATATTTTTGAACTGCAGTGGACTGCAGATAACCAACTGTGGAAAGCGAAACCACAGATACGAGTGGGCTACGGTGTTCAAGAGGCTCTTCAACTGTTGTGGATCCTCTGATGTTCTCGGAGATGGTTTGGGTGGGTACATGCCTTCCCGCATTCCTTACATTCGTAGGATTTCGGCCCGCTGTGCGTTTTCTGATGTTGTGTAAGCTGATGGCCATGACTAAAGCTCTTCCCACATTCTGTACACCCGTAGGGTTTCACCCCGGTATGAATTCTCTCGTGTTTCACAAGGCTGGACCCATAAATGAAAGCCTTCCCACACTCCTTACATTTGTACGGGGTCTCGCCTGTGTGGATTCTCTCGTGCTGAGTGAGGTGGTAGCCGCAGTTGAAGGCCTTCCCGCACTCTGTGCATTTGTACGGCTTCTCGCCCGTGTGTATCCTCTCGTGCTTCACGAGGCTCGAACCCCAGCGAAAGGCCTTCCCACATTCCTTACACTCGTGAGGCTTCTCACCGGTGTGGATCTTCTGATGCTGAGTGAGGTAATTGACTCGAGTGAAGGCCTTCCCGCACTCTTGACATTCGTAGGGTTTCTCACCTGTGTGAATTCTTTTATGCTGAATGAGGCTTGAACCACAAATAAAGGCCTTCCCACAGTCTTTACACTCGTAAGGCTTCTCCCCACTATGAATTCTCTTGTGCTGAATAAGTTTATACACACGGCTGAAGGTCTTCCCACAGTCTTTGCATTCGTAGTCTTTCTCCCCAGTGTGGAATCTCTGGTGCTGAGTGAGCTCATCACCACGCCGAAAGGCCTTTCCACAGTCTTTACATTCATAGGGTTTTTCACCAGTATGAATTCTCTTATGAATAACGAGGCTTGAACCCCATCGAAAAGCCTTCCCACAGTCTTTACACTCGTACGGCTTCTCCCCAGTATGAATTTTTTGATGTTGAGTAAGCTGATTGCCCCAACGGAAGGCCTTCTTACATTCTTTACATTCATAAGGTTTCTCGCCAGTATGGATTTTCTGATGTTGACTAAGTTGATAGCCACGACTAAAGGCCTTCCCACACTCCTTACATTCAAAGGAATTCTCCTTATGATGTCTCTGATGTGGTCTAGGAGGGGTACCTTCTCTAGTAGCAGGCCTTTTTACATAATTGATGATCATTTGATTGACATACCTCCCTCTCGAGCGCTGCGGTCTTTCAAGCGTACCTTCGCATATCCAGTTACGGCCAAGGGATTTACTTCTTCTATCTGAATTCCTTTTGGAAGCCCTTAGTTCATGAATGTTTTTTTCTGTAGCTAAACTCTTATTCTCATATGCTGACTCCAAATCTGGGAAAAAAGAACATAGTTTGTTTCCTTTAGAGGGACACAAGTACAAACAAACCTAACCACAAACCAAAAACTTGTCTAATAGTAATAAAAATTATCCAGTAGAATAAATGTGAATCACCCAAGGCTCTTGTTAAAATATAGATTCTATTTCTGGCACAATACTTAATGAGAATTCCTTGGAGACATCTGTTTTAAAGTCAAACATGAAAAAGGTCCCCACAATTAGTCCTATTATTTCCTATTTTGAAGATGAAAACAAGTATTTGTAGATGATGTGATAATATACTTGGAAAATCAAAGAAAATCAAATATAGAAGTACTGTAACAAAACAATATGCAGTTGGATAGCTGTGTGTAAAGCATTCTGAAACTGATACACATATATGTCAGCAGTATTACTAAAAGTAACTGGGTAAAGGGCTGGGAGTGGTGGCTCACGCCTGTAATCCCAGCACTTTGGGAGGCCAAGGCAGGCGGATCGCCTGAGGTTGGGAGTCCGAGACCAGCCTGACCAACATGGAGAAACCTTGTCTCTACTAAAAATACAAAATTAGCCAGGTGTGGTGGCACATGACTGCAATCCCAGCTACCTGGGAGGCTGAGGCAGGAAAATTGCTTGAACCTGGGAAGCAGAGGTTGCGGTGAGCTGAGATCATGCTATTGCGCTCTAGCCTGGGCAACAAGCATGAAACTCTGTCTCAAAAAAAAAAAAACCAAAAAAACAAAAAACAGGCTGGGCGCGGTGGCTCACGCTTGTAATCCCAGCACTTTGGGAGGCCGAGGTGGGTGTATCATAAAGTCAGGAGTTCGAGACCAGTCTGGCCAACATGGTGAAACTTTGTCTCTACTAAAAATACAAAAATTAGCTGGGCGTGGTGGTGGGAGACTGTAATCCCAGCTACTCGGAAGGGTAAGGCAGGAGAGTCACTTGAACCCGGGAGGTGGAGGTTGTAGTGAGCCGAGATTGTGCCACTGCACTCCAGCCTGGGTGACAGAGCTAGACTCCGTCTCAAAAGAAAAAACAACAAGCAAACAAACCCCATCTCTACTAAAAATACAAAAATCAGCCAGGCATGGTGGCATGTGCCTATAATCCCAGCTACTTGGGAAGCTGAGGCAGGAGAATTGCTTGAACCCGGGAGGTGGAGGTTGCAGTAAGCCGACAGAGAGAGACTGTCTCAAAAAAAAAAAAAAAAAAGCAACTGGGTAAAAGAATACAACATTCAAAAGCAACAAAAAAGATAATCTGCAAGACTACATTTAATTAAAAATGTGAAAAAGTTTAGAACAATAATAAGAAAAAGTTTCGAACTTGAGCATCAAGAAGGAGGCTAACTGCAAAGGACTGAGAAACAGCAAACGTTTAAATCTATGAGTTCATAATGATACTACAAAATGTTAAATGGCCAGCTTTGGAGCATGCTAGGAAACCAATCCTCTATTATAAAAACTGACAATTGGCTAGGTGCGGTGGCTCACGCCTGTAATTCCAGCACTTTGGGAGACCGAGGCGGGTGGATTACTTGAGCTCAGGCGTTCAAAACCAGTCTGGGAAACAGCAAAACCCTGGGAAGCAGCAAAACCCTGTCTCTACAAAAAAATAAAATATAAAAATTAGCCAGGCGTGGTGGTGTGCACCTACAGTCCCAGCTCCTCGGGAGGCTGAGGTGGGAGGATGGCTTGAGCCTGGGAAGTCAAGGCTGCAGTGAGCCCAGACTGCACTACTACACTCCAGCCTGGGTGACAGAGTAAGACCCTGTCTCAAAAAAACAAAAAACAAAAAACAAAAACAACGTAAAAACCAACAAAGGAAAAGAACAAAGTTTTTATCCTCGTTATCCAATATGAACAGTGCCACTGCATGAGCAATTAGCAGATGAAACAAAGTTTCTCTTTAAATTATAGGCTAATAAATGAAGGGGCAGTGATAGGCGCACAGCATTTGAGCCCCAGTGTAACGAATGTGAGCACTGCCAATGACCGCCAACGGCAAAGAGCTACAACCAGATACTAGGTGCCTCATGGTGGAGGTACATGACCAGCACCCAGGAAGCGGTATTGCCAACACCTAGATAAAAGAAAAAGAAAACGGGCGCTTAAAGTGGGGCTAACCCACTTTCAGGAATGATGAAGGGCAGAGGATCACGTCACCTCTACCCCTGCTACTAAAGGCGTGGCCCACAGACCCGCAGCACCAGCAGCACATCAAATGGGGTTAAATATGACAGGAAAAACAAGGTGACAGGGAAATGGGGTGAAGATCAAGTTCGTGGTAAGTTCTTTTTTTTTTTTTTTTTGAGACGGAGTGTCGCTCTGTCGCCCAGGCTGGAGTGCAGTGGCGTGATCTCAGCTCACTGCAAGCTCCGCCTCCCGGGTTCCCACCATTCTCCTGCCTCAGCCTCCTGAGTAGCTGGGACCACAGGCGCCCACCACCATGCCCGGCTAATTTTTTGTATTTTTAGTAGAGACGGGGTTTCACTGTGTTAGCCAGGATGGTCTCGATCTCCTGACCTCCTGATCCGCCCACCTCAGCCTCCCAAAGTGCTGGGATTACAGACATGAGCCACCACGCCTGGCTAAGATCTTTCTTTCCTAGAGGCTTTGGGCCTGAACCTTTGGAGAAAGCTTCTCCAACACCTCAGGGTGTGCCTGTTCCCTGCCCAGCGGGGATGCCCTTTGTACGGGTGGCTAACTGGCTCTCACTTTCCTCAGTATTGTCTTGTCTTTTCCCTCACAACCATCAAGGCTCTTTCCCTTAATTCTGTAAGACAGTACATCTGGCTTAGAAATGATACGCCCTCCTTTAAAAAAACAAAATGCTAGAGGACATAGAACTTGAGGAAAAATTTCAAGCTCAAAACTTTAAAAATTCTTTAAAAATTATTTTTATTTTTATTTTTTGAGAGGGAGTCTTGCTCTGTTACCCAGGCTGGAGTGCAGTGGTGTGATCTCGGTTCATTGCAACCTCCACCTTCAGGGTTCAAGCAGTTCTCCTGCCTCAGCCTCCCAAGCAGCTGGGATTACAGGCACGGCCACCATGCCCAGCTTTTTGAGACTTGCTCTGTTGCCCAGGCTGGACTGCAGTGGCATGATCTTGGCTCACTGCAGCCTCTACCTCCCAGGTCCCAGTGATTCTCCTGCCTCAGCCCCCTGGGTAGCTGGGATTACAGGCGCACAGCACCACACTGGCTAATTTTTGTATTTTTAGTAGAGATGGGTTTTCACCATGTTGGCCATGGTCTTGAAGTCCTGACTTCAGGTGATCTGCCCACCTTGGATTCCCAAAGTGTTGGGATTACAGGCGTGAGCCACCATGCCTGGCCTTAAACATTTTTTGATTATTAATCAAATTTATAACAACCAGAAGTCAAAATGCTATTGAGCCGGGTGCAGTGGCTCATGCCTGTAATCCACCCTCTTTGGGAGGCTGAGGTGGGTGAGTTGCTTTAGCCTAGGAGTTCAAGATCGGCTTGGGCAACATGGCGAAATCCCATCTCTACAAAAAAACACAATAATTAGCCGGGTGTCGTGGTGTGCACCTGTGGTCCCTGCTACTCAGGGAGATGAGGCAGGAGGATCGCTTGAGCCCAGGAGGTTGAGGCTGCAGTTAGCCATGATGGCGCCACTGCACTCCAGCCTGAGTGACAGAGTGAAAAAAAAATCTCATCTTTAAAAAAAAAAAAAAAAAAGGAAAGGAAACGCTATTAATAAAGACTTTATAAAGAGAAAGGAATAAAGAACAAACAGGAAACTAGATAGGTAGGGAAAAGGTCATATTTTATTTATTTAGTTATGTATTTTTCTGAGACAGATTCTTGCTCTGTCGCCCAGGATGGAGTGCAGTGGCGTGATCTCAGCTCACTGCAATTTCTACCTCCCGGGTTCAAGTGATTCTCCTGCCTCAGCCTCCCAAGTAGCTGTTAATACAGGCATGTGCCACCACACCTGGTAAATTTTTGTATTTTCAGTAGAGGTGGGGTTTCACCATGTTGGCCAGGCTGGTCTTGAACTCCTATCCTTATGATCCGTCCGCCTTGGCCTCCCAAAGTGTTGTGATTACAGGAGTGAGTCACTGCACCCGGCCTTATTTTTCACTATTTTTGAGACAAAGTCTCGTTCTGTTGCCCAGGCTGTAGCACAGTAGCGCGATCTTGGCTCACTGCAACCTTTGCTTCCCAGGTCCAAATGATTCTTCTGCACCAGGCTCTGGAGTAGCTGAGATTACAGACATGTGCCACCATGCCTGGCTAATTTTTATATTTTTAGTAGAGACAGGGTTTTACCATGTTGGCCAGGCTGGTCTCTAACTCCTGACCTCAAGTGATCC